TTCTGGTGTGAAAGCAAAGTCTCACGGTATCCTTTCCAAGGTGATACAGTATTCGTGATCGCTTCACCAAGGGTAAGATTACAGCAGCGGCTCTATACAGCAATGCCAGAAGCAGACTATTGTAAATACGCAAGTTCATTAGTGCCACAACCCATGCGAATTCCAGTCAACATGCAATGGCTTTTACAGCATTGCCCAGTCTTTCCAATATCTGGATCAAAGGTACTATTTTATGATGTATCCACTTATATTTAGTTTTGCTTTGTTCACAAAACCTTTACTCTCACAAAACTAGAACCACAGTACATTCTGAAACATTACATATTGGTTGTAACATCATGATGTCATGTAATGTTTGTTTTTTTCTTCCACTTATTATTATTATTATTATTATTATTATTATTATTATTATTATTTCTCCATCTTTAGGTTAGAATAATCACCAGTCCTAAAGAATTCTACCAAGAACTTCTGGACCGAGCCTCAAGATCATCACATCGTATTAGTATGTCTTCCTTGTATCTTGGAACTGGAAAATTAGAAGAGGAATTGGTAAGTTTCCCTTTTATTTCTCTCTTTCTTTCCTTTGCAGAAATGTACTTCTACTTTTAAAGATTTACCTTTCTACAAGAGCATTAAGAAGGTGTCTGTAAAAGAGTGAAATTTTCTCATTATTATATTGCCTGTGTTGTATGCAGTTCCTCCTTAAACATGCTTTGATTTGTAATGGAAGGGCTACAATCTGAAGTCCAGCAATGTATTGATGCAGTGTCACTTTGTTTTTATAATCTGACAAAGGACAGTTATGGTAAATATCCAGAATAGGACTGAACAGATAGCGAAAAGCTAAGATAAGGCCAAGAAAAATGCATAAAACACTGTATATATTCTGACATGTGTAAGACACTAAACTGCATCTGTAAATGCACAGACCGAAAGGACGAAGGGCCCTACTCAGCTTGCGAGTGATGATGAACAATCATTTAGTGTGCCATGGTAGCATAGGCAGTAGATGAACTACAACATCTACAACAATGGCTACTTTGGCAGTGAGATGATTATATAGTAAGAGAGATTGTGAACTTTTCAGTCACCTGGAGAAAGGCGACAGGAGGATTTCCTGTTGCCTTCCCATGATCTGCCAAATATTAATGCTATGAATAGCATTTCACTTGTTAGGAGTAGCTATGAAGTGGCACAGATTTCAAAAACATGGTTGCCAACATTGATTGATACACTAAGATTTATCTTGCTCAACAGAACTAGGTGAGGTTTGTTGACCTTTGTCTGTCCTGACTAATTACCCAGCAAATCTGCTCTGGTAGGGTTAGAATTTGTACTGGTTCCTAATTAGCCAATTAATTGCCAGGGAAGTCTGCAAACTCTAATCTTTCAGAATGTATGTGGTTGAAGTTTAATAGCCTGTCATGGAAATCAGTAGGCACAGAGGTGCAAATTACAACATCAGCTATACCATGTGTCTTCTAAATATATACCCTATTTATATATTCTATTTGTTTTATTATATTCGTGTTTCTGGTAAATGTTACTTGTAACCTGTCAAGTTCTATTTAAGATTATAGATCTTTCAGCAGACATCACATTAAGTTTCAAGTAAATTTACATAGAACACATCTAGTGTGATTATGAGAAAGAAGTCCATTTTGAAAATTATTATTAATTAATTAGTGAGCATTTCCTGTGTTGCAATTGTGTTGATATGGGTATTCGAATATCTGGCTTTTTTAAGGTAAATCCATCGTAAAGATTCTTAATGTGTAAACAGAAATACTTAATTTACAATGATTTTATAATTCTTGGTCAAAGCCATAAAAGTGTCACTTTTAGTATTCACAGTTACTTGTTTTAGTTCAGTTTGAATTTTTGTTTATGATTACCATTATAAATATCCGGCAATAAATGGGAGATTTAGTATAGCTTTTTTGCAATTGGAAATTATCTTGCCCAAAGATAAAAGTATAACATACTTATAGTTCTGTTACTCAGTGTGTAGTGTAACACAAGTTTATGACTATTACAGGTATCCACTATGGTGAAGAGAGCTGATGAGTGTAAAAGTCTTCAGGTAAAATGGCTCCTGGACTTCACCAGAGGTTCACGGGGAGAGTACAACTCACGCAGCATGTTGCAGCCTCTTATTACCAGACATCCAAGTTCATGTTCTGTGCGTTTATGAGCACATGGTATAATGTTTCTCAAATTATGATTTATTTGTTATTACTATACATGCATATCCTTGTATGTGTGAGTAACTGTGTTGGGAGGAAGTGTCATTATTTATGCTGTAACATGTGTACTTTTGAGAATCTGGATCTAAACTAATTAAGATAGTGTCATTTTGTATTAAGATCTAAAGATATGTATCTTGGGTTAAGTCTCCAGTGTTACATTATGTTGACAGCACCTCAGATGTGTACATGAGGGTGTTTCATTTTGATTTAAATATAAGTAATTATCTATATATGTATCTGTGTGTGTGTGATTTTTTAATCAAAATTTATTCATGGGTACTATTATTTAAACTTTTCAAGTAACTGTGACACTAGAAGGGCTTATATATGTATGCCTAGTCCACTGTGATTTTAGTTTATTAATTCCTTAAGTGCTTTATCACGTGCTAGGTCTGCCCTCACCTGTTTCAGTTTTAATAGTAGTAATATATACTGTTAATAACATTTTAATAATAATAGTGATGTTAGTAATAGTAATAATAACATTAATAAAGATAATAAATTTTCTTTAAAAAAAATAATAATAATAAATAAAAAGGAATAGGATAAGTAGATGAGGCCAGGTAGGCCTAGTAATTGATTCCTTGGCGACTAAGCACTTATGAAGCCACCTATATGTAGATAAAATAAACAAAAAATAATTGTGAATTAAAAAAGTTTATCTTTTGTAGGTGTCTTTATACCATACACCTGACCTCCGTGGTATCTTGAAAAGCCTCATCCCTCAGCGCTGGAATGAAGTAATCGGCCTGCAGCACATGAAGCTCTATGTTTTTGATGACACTTTGGTCATCTCTGGGTGAGAAATACAGCTAGATGTATTTGGTTTTACACATTCTTAAGGGTTTATGTAATGCATGTACTGTATTCCACTTTTAGGGTGTAGGACATATATGTGCATTTATTTGTATATAGAGAGGGGAAGTAAATTGGTTGTTTTTTGCATTTTTCATATTATAGCATCAGTAGAAAATAAATTACCTATTTTCAGAGCTAACCTGAGCAACGACTACTTCACAAATCGCCAGGATCGTTATTTTGTGTTCGAAAATTGCCCAGCTTTGGCTAACTTCTACCATTGTCTTATAGAAACAGTTAGCAAGTTCTCTTTCCTTCTACATAAAGACAACACAATAGCAATGCCTCAGGAATCAACTGTACACCCATTCTTGGTATGTAGTAGAAGTCAGTATTTGTGTAGGGTGTCTCTAATAAGTGTAAAAAATAGTATAAGGTTTCTGTGCTTAGCAAAAGAGTAATAACACTAGTCCAGGACTTCAAGTTGTTAACATCCGCAAACAGTTTTTGATCTTAACAGGTATTCAGCACTTTTGGTTAAAAAAATCAATTAATGAGTAAGACTTGTAAAAACAATTCAGATTGGGAAAGAAGTAAAACTAAGTACCCATACAGAAAGTGCTCCCTTTGAAAGTCATGAAAATAGGAAATCATTCCTATTTTTTATACTTTTTAGGATTTATTGTTTTTAGAAATAGCTTTTTTCATGACTAGATTTTATAAAAATGTGAAGAATTTAGGAATGATTGGGGAAAAGTAACTGAAAACCCAGATAACATCAGATTTATGTGATGTACCGACATTGAGACATTCTATTATGCAAAAGAAATTTTATGACATTTTTTTCCATACAACAGTAACGTTATTAGATGATGATTCACAGCTGTAAGAGAAAAAAACATTGCTGAGTACTTCCTTCAGTTTATTTTTTCAAAACCTTGCCTATACAATAGCTTAATGGCTTTTCGTTTATTGTGGCTATTAGTGTATTTACTTTTCTTTTATATGATTGATCAGGGTAATTACAAGAAGTACTGCAGTGCAATGAGAGAAGCAGTGGAGCATCTTTGGAGAAAGGAATGTGAAAAAAATGTTTTGAGGTTACAGAACGTCAGCCAAGGTCATCATCACCATTTACCCTCAGACAAGAGAGGGGATGACTCAAATGGAGAGATTGAGTTTAGGAATATGCCTGACACTCTGATCTTTCCTACCTTACAAATGGGACCATTTGGCATCACAAATGATAGTATTATTACAAACAAACTCTTGACCCAGGCTGAAGAGGGTGCAAGAATACAGCTAGCATCTGGATACTTCAACTTGACAAAAGAATACATGAAATGCATCCTATACCACTCGAGAGCAACCTATGGTATCCTCATGGCTCATCCAAAGGTATCTTTTATTTCTCAGAATGTAAAATACTAAGAAATATTTAAAAAAACTACTCTGTATACTAATTTAGAGGTCTTTTTTATTCTTTAACCCATTACTGCCAGGAGCATATAATATCCACTGTTTTTTTATGAATTGTGTTACACAGGGTTTGATAAGTAGACCTATGGTAGAAAAACCCACAATTCGCAAACTAGATATATTAAAATTGAGACAACAGTTTTGAAATCCATCTTCAAACTTGAAGATGAAATCCAGGAGGATTTTCAATAAATCCAGTTTGTGGGTTTTTTATACTACAGTATTAGTGTTTTTACCATTCTTCAAGTAGACATTTTTTACCTCACCTGATTTCCCAATTCTTTGAGTTTTCTAGAAAAATATCAATGTTATTTATTCATATCTATAGGCTACTGTTAGGATTATTATTAACTTTATGAATACTATAATGTTAATTTCAATAAATAAAAACTTTTCCAAAAATTAAGGGAAAGGGTAAACAGTTGAGTAGGTAGGACTATATATAATTGATTATGTGGAACTATCTGCTATTAAATAAAGATCACAGTGGACATGGCATGTGCTTTATCAGGAGGGAACATGATTAAGGATAGTCATTTGATCATTTTTGGTGTAAACTTTTCCATTTTTAGAATTATTTGTGATGAGGGAAATATCAATGTTGAGACTTTTCTTTGTTTATCAGGCCAATGGATTTTTGGGAGCACGTGGCTTTGCAGGGGCAATCCCAGCAGGGTACACTCAGTTAGCGAAAGGATTTTACAAGAGATTATGTCAAGAAAGACAAAATGACAGAATCTTCTTGTGTGAATATAAACAGCCAGGCTGGACATTTCATGTCAAGGGCCTTTGGTATTATCAAGCAAATAAGCCCCTGCCACTTCTGACAATGATTGGGTCTCCAAACTTTGGTGAGTAATGGCTTAAACTCAAAAAATAATCTATTCTTTTTTGCATTTTTTCTCTTCTTCCTTTTTCTACATGTTAAGCAGTGTGTTAGGAAGAAGATTCTCATAGAGAACAATCCTGGCATACATATCCTTTTACACACAATTGCAGATTGAATCTTAAAATTAGAATAAAATAGATATATATATTGCCTTTTGATGTTTCTACTGGTCAACAGTGATTTTTTTTTAATATGAGGGAAAAAAATAATAAAGAACACATTTGTCCTTTGGCTCTTTACATCTTATTTAGATATAAAAGAATACCTCATAATCAAAACTGCAAATTATAAAAAAAGGTGGCATTTCAAATTACTCACAGAACATACAGAAGCAATCTCTAAATACTGTATAAATATTGCAGGTAGGTGACTGCACATCCTTGGATTTTTTATATGAAATATAGCATTTTTTGGAATTACCATCATTAGAAAAACAGGCCAGATTTTTTTTCCTTTTTTCTTTCTATAGTACCTAGTAAACTGTGCCATACATCTTATATTTCTTGAGCAACTGAGTCTGACCTCTTAATATGAGAGATGCTCTGAGCTGCAAATAAAAAAATTCCCACCAAGCCAGGCAACATCCTCCTCCTCTCAATGCATCTCCCTTCCTTCTCTGGACACCCTTCCAATTACCCTCACAGCTTCCCCCATTACAGCCCCACCCCCCAGTGATTTTGCAGCCTTCTGCGATGCTAGATGATCACATTCCAGTGCTGTACTTGTATCACTTGCGTATTATACAAATAAACTTTTTCAAGAAAGTTTATATTTGCCATTTATTGCACATCCAGGAGCTGTTCAGAAATGGCACATTTGCTAGGTTAACCCTTTATCAGGCAAGTGACCATATATGATCACTTAAATGCATGTATATATATATATATGAGGTATTTAAAATGTGTGCCCAGTAAAGGGTTAAAGGGCAAAGCTCTTGTTTTGTATAATAAAGCATATTTCCATAGAGTGTATTTATCTGCAGCTGCATTTGCAATGAAAAACTGATAACTTGTCATCAATAAGGATGTTGTTATATTACATTTATGTTTAGATGATAATGCATTACTAGTACTATGTCTTGTGTATAAACTCACATTCAAGAAATTTTATTACTTTCCATCATATTTATTTTCAGGCTTCCATTTGACTTAGAGTAGAGAGAGATTTTGCAATGTAAACCCTGTTGTGTGATGAGTTGCATAGTATGAATCATCTAGTGATAATTTATCAAGTAGGGGCCTGAATGTGTAGAGATTATTTTGATATTTAAGGTTTTTGATTTTGGTCATATCATATTTAGTTAAGTTTTTGGTTGTGAAACAAGAAGAGCACTGAAGTTTGAATGAAGGAAAATAATGATATTATCTTCCCTACAAAAGGCCTTTATTTCTTTATTTGTTACAGTTTAAAATTGCCCGATATGAATTCAAATATAGTTTTATGTTTTTTTTTTATGGTTGCAGAGTCCCATAAAATCCACCTCTATGACATCAAACCGTTTTTCTTATCTACAGGTTGGCGCTCTGTCAACAGAGACCTTGAGAGCCAGATAGTGTTGATAACAGCTAATGAGGACCTTCAAAAGTCCTTGCATCAGGAACAAGAAAGATTATATAATTTATCAGATCAAGTAACTGATAAAACCTTTGGCCAGCCAGATAGATGGGTGCCATTTTGGGTACGATGTGTGATGCCTATTATAAAAGTCTTCTTTTGAAAGATGTTTGTATATAGAGGTGCTTTGTTGGTCATAGACTTCTGTAAAAAGTTGTTGTTGTAAAGTTTATTATATTCTATGGCAAATAAATAGAAAAAAGAAGGTTCTTTCAATTAAGCCAATATCACCTTAAGTAAGACCTAATACTATGATAGTGAAAGTAATATAGCATGCAAAAGGGTAGCTGCCATTAACTTCGAGATCAGTGTTATTTGTACAATAAAAATATGAAATTCTGTAATAAGCAATCATTGGAAGGAATACATATTTGAGGGAAGCTGTGTTTGAATTGTATGCAGAAAATGCCATGGCCTTGCCAGTCCTTCACCCCCAGGCTTTGGGTCCCTCTGGGTTGGCGACCACTGGGACTCAGAATTGGAGCCAGGGTTACCCATCCCATCCATGTCCCGGTGACCGCCAACCTGCCGTGAAGCTTTAGTGACCTGCAGCCAGTCATCCCTTACTTTATAGGGCATCATCGGCAGTGATGTCGTCCATCCAGAGTGACTGCCTGAGGCTTAACCTCAGGCGGGTAGTCAGGGTGGGGCTTGAAACATTCATTCTTTACGACAGGATGATTGGTTGCCATTACTTTTAAGGGAACTGAAGCGGCTGAGAGTTGAGGTGGCTGCTCAGTGGTGAGAAGACCTGGCAGTGACACGATTAGTGTGGGTGGCTACACCTATTACCAGTTGGGCTGCAACAACGTCACCATCTCCAGGGAGTAACCATAGCCGTCTCCAGCAGACTTCAGCCCTCGTTAGTTGAGGTTACTCCAGTCAATGAGCGTTTAATGGTATTGAGACTGAACGTTGCTTTTGGCTTCATGTCTCTTGTTGCTGTGTATGCTCCTACTGATGTTTGTGTACTTGACATGAAAGAGATCTGTGTCAGACAGTTGCCCTCGGCATGATATTCATATTGTTCTGGGTCACTTCAGTAACCTAGCTATGAGATGTCTGTTGGTCCTCCATGGTTTAGGAACTGGTACCAGCAACGAGAATAGCCTCCTTTTCCGGGACTTTACTGGGGATTTCTGGCTCTTGGTACCAGCGCTCTGACCAACATCACTGGACGTGGTACAGCGATGTGGGTAATGTAGCCAAGGAGATCAACCGCATCCTCATTATCACTCAGAGGATCCTCCAGAAATGCAGGGTGTTTAGGAGTGCCAAGTTCTGTGGTACTGACTGTAGATTAGTTGTGGCTATCCTCCGAGTCCACTTCAAAACTTCCCATTAGGCCAATGACCACCCTAGGGTATTTCATCTGGAAAGGTTGAGGGAGGGGGGGGTTTTGCCCGGGGGTTTCCAGAGGCAATTTATAGTTGTTTCACAATGTTTGAAAACCTAACGGACCCGTACTTCTATGGGACACTCAAGTGTGAAACACTTGATGCAGCACAAATATCGATTGGTGAACGCTCAAAAGCAAGAGAATTTTAACTTGTTGGAGATACTGGAAGACATAGTTGCACAGGACTCAGTCACTGCCGAGAAGGGACAAGGAACAGTTTATTAGGAGTCTTGCAGAGGAGGTTGAAGGCCATTTTTTAGTAAATGACCTTCGTCCTACAAACTCCAAGCCCTCTTCACAGGTGACTGCAGTCAGCTCAGTAAGTGACCAGATCATCTCAGATCCTGTTACTGTGTGAAAGCATTGGGCTGAGTACTTTGAACAGGTGTACCAGGTTGATCCACCAACAGTTACTTTGGATGTCAAGATTCCGTTGCCGAACCCACCCATCATTGAGGATCTACCGTTCCTAACAGAAGTTAAGGGAGCGGTCTCCAAGCTGAATAGTGGTAAAGCAGCGGGTATCTACGACATCCCAGCCGACCTATTAAAGGCTGGTGCTGAACCAATGGCGCGGCGGTTGCATCCTGTCCTGGCTGGAAGGGGAAAGGGGATCGTTGGGACTGCAGCAATCACCGAGGCATCATATTGCTCATTATACCAGGCAAGGTTCTTGTTCACATCATTCTGAGATGTATCGGAGACCATCTGCTGAGGCACCAGAGGCTGGGGCAATCTGGATTCACTCCTGGTAACTCCACATTGGACCGTATCCTAGCGCTCCGAGTCATTGTAGAGTGCCGACGTGAGTTCGGTCGTGGGATGCTTGCAGCTTACATAGATCTCATGAAGGCGTTTAATACGGTGCATCGGGAATCATTCTGGGAGATCCTGAGATTGAGAGGAATTTCGACAGGGGTTATTGGCCTAATAATATCCCTGTATACTGGTGGTGAACCAGTAAAGTGTAAAGTGTGCTGGAGGCCTGTCAAGCTTCTTTTCTGTTAGTTCAGAAGTGAGGTAAGGCTGTCCTTGCACCAACTCTTTTCAACTTGCATGTATTGGATACTGGGCAGAGCTACTGTCCCAAGTCATTGTGAAGCAACTCTGGGCAATATCAAGGCTACTGACCTTGACTTTGCTGACGATGTTGCTATTCAGAGTCCCTAGTGGTGGCTCTAGATTCATTTAGCAGTAAAACGAACCCTCTGGGTCTAGAGGTCTCTTGGACCAAGACCAAGATCCACAACTTTGGGGACTTGATAGGAGAACTTATACGGGCGGTATATGCTTGCGGCGAGGACTAGGAAGTGACAGAGAGCTTTACATACCTTGGTAGTATAGTTCATAACAGTAGACGGATTGTCCTGGCAGCAGGAGTCATGAACTTTCTTGTCAAAAATATTTGGAGATGCCGGTACCTGTGTAGAAGGACCAAGCTATGTGTTTTCAAGGCCGTGATAATGCCGGTTTTACTCTACGGTCAATAGTCAAAGATGGTCCCATACCCTTGTGGACTTAGAGGACATAGTAGTGAAACATGCTTACTAAGCCGGGGGATGATGTGGTAGAGTGGCCAGTTCCTTTCTGCCCCGACTGTGATCCCATGCTAACATCAGCATGCCAGTGCTCATTCATAGCTGAGTTTACTGAGAGGGGCAGCCGTGCGCGAATCCAGAACCATGCGATTGCAAAGCCAGCACTTTACCACTCGATGCCTTTTGTAATAGTACAATTGACAGGACACATAGCTGATTCAATTATTTGCACAATCTGTGATCGCCAACTCAGGGTATATGGCCATCTGGCTCGCTTCCCCACAGGATAATCCTGCCCACCAGGTTGTCTCTGTCATAGCAACCCTCATGGCAGCTTGTCATGAGGGAGCTCGTATGTTTGCGCCCAAAAGTATACATAGGAAATTCTGAGGGAGAGGGTTATATGTGGGTGGCAAATTAGCATTTTGTGAGCGTGTGTGTGTGCGCATTTGTGGCTGGATGGCGTTAATGTGCTTTTCCTCATATGTTGCTGATTCTGAAACAGCCTGAGGACAGACGCGGTGTGGTGTGGATCCTCGCTGGGCCTTTATTTCGTATGCAAAAAATTATACATATATATATATATATATATATTATATATATATATATATATATATATATATATATATATATATATATAAACAATATACAATAACATCTATACACTATTTTCTTTGTCACAGTTTAATTACCTCGTTTACTTATCAGTGTCCGCTGTTCGTGGACTATTTGCGCAAAATATCTGGTCCAGTAAGAAACAAACCCACTTAATCATATGTTCGACCTTGACTCGTGTTGATTATCAGTCTTACTGGAATTAGCTATTTCCAGAGTGAAAGTGATGTTAGAATCACTAGGTCACACATTATCCCTCCTCATCCCTTCCCTCTCTTTCCCTTTTCCTTTAGTTTTCCTCTACTCTCTTACTTTCTCCCCCTTTCACCCTTCCATCTCACCCCCTCTCTCCCATTTCCCCCTCTCTCCTTAACTTTCCCTTTCCTGTTCTGCTACCCCCTCTCACTTCCAAATCTCCTCTATAGTCACTCCTTCCTTCCCATGCAAGTCCTACAACTGCCCCCTCCCAACTCCCTCCTGTTTCTCCTCAACCCTCCCATCTTCACTACGTTAATTCCCTTCCCTCCTTTCTTCCATCCCTCACTTCTCCCTGAGCCCCTCTCCCTTTCCTCTATAAGTCCCCTTCGATTCCCCTTCCCCATTCCCTTTTCTTTGTAATCCCGTACCCCCATTTCCTGTCTAAGCCCCTTCCCCTCTCTTTCTCTCCCTCCCTTCTTTAAATCCCATTTCCTCTCTCCCTTCCCTTCCTCTTCCCCTCATACCTTCCTTCTTAACCTCCCCTCTGGCACATATGTGTAAATAACAAGTGTACATGAACTGATGGTCTGACTACTTCAGTGAAGTGAGTACTTGCCTCATATAATGATGAATGAAGAATGTGTGAATGAACAGACTGAACACTAGCAGACTTATAATATAGGTAGTGACAATAATAAAAATGACAATGAGGATAATGATAACTAAAATGCTGATAGAAAATAATGATAACAAAATGATAATAATAGCAATGAAATTACAATAGCTAAATAGCGGTCACACTAGTCTTATCTATCTGGGGATCCCTACGCAGATCAGGAGACTTCCTAATTTGTAGGGGGACTGTATTTTTGACGGTCTCTGAGATTAAAACCCGTCTGTTGCTGTTTTGTTGGGGCTACAGGGGGAATGCTGATGCCAAAACAAAAAGGATTTTTTTTTTTCGGAATGCCTTCACAAAACCAGTTATGACAATTTTGCTTTCTATTGATTCCTCTCACTCTCTACTATCCAAATATATTCAAATCATACCGCGGACCCCCCCCCCCCTCAACCATAGCAACAATTTTGGCATCGACAGCAGGGGAGGGCATGAAAGGTACCAGGGGAATTGCGGGGTATTCACAGCATCAATCACTATATGCCTCCTTCATTTGACTATATATTTACCAACTCTCTATATTCGTAATTTACCCCGTAGTTTCCCTGCTACCATTCATATCCTCCCCTGCTATTGGGGTCAACATTGTGGGTATGGGATGGGGGGGGGGAGACATCGATTATAACGGAAATTTACCAACAAAAACTAGCATAACAATAGGAAGCTCATTCATTACTTAATCATCTGAATCATAACTTTCCCCATAACTCTTGTAGTGGGGATACACTGCCTGCCGCTCAATGATACAAGCAAGACCGGCATCAAAGCCGACCCTT